GGTTTTGGAGAGGGATGGTGGGTTTGGGGGGGGGGGGGGGGAGGAATTGATCTCAAAAAGGTTAAACTAATGTTATCTGGTTAGTGCATGTTATCGAAGATAATGTCAAAGAGACAGATATCTTACCATAAATTCAATTGTTGCACTTATGATATAGATGTAATAGGTGGAGAAGAAATCAGATGAGAACCCGCCAAGTAGAGCAAGGAAGAAAGAAGTTCCCATAAAGTTTGTAACTATGTTGGCTGAAGCAGATGGAGAAAAATTCATGAACTTCGATAGATAAAGGACTAGATTGCTCGCATTTGCCAGGTATGCTAAGTTCTCCAAAATCTCCACCACTACATCCACAATTGAAAACAATCAGATTGATAGTTTATTACAAACTATATTTTATTATTAATGACTAAGTTCAGACAAATTATAATTACTAATTCATGAATATCAGCTGTAGCATTCATGAAAAGAGATGTGGTTTACAGACCCAATACAAAGGAGGCAGCAACAGCTCCACCATGACATCCTTTAATGGCTGCCCTGTTTCTCCAGTCCACATAGCCTTCCCACATGGTGAAACCCTGCTCATGATCCTGCAGTGTAGTGCACATAAATTAAGTAAAGATTTTCTGGATGGAACATAAAATTAAAAACGAAATGAGAGCTGGAATGTGCACCATCTCTGTGTGTGTGTGTATATATGTAAAGTTTCAGAAATCTTGATATAGAAGTCCCAAGTTAAAAAATTTCCAGTCTAACAAGGAAGCTACACCAGTGTCACCTTTAAATACTGGAAGGATGAGGATGTTCAAATTGTGTGGAAAAATCTGGATCTCTGATTGTGACCCTGCATTAAGGGTGTGTTTGGTAGGACGGAAAATGTTTTCTTAGAAAATAAGTGGGTTTCTTACTTATCTTCTAGTATTTGGTTAGCAAAAGATATTGGCCAAAAACATTTTATATAATCTAGACAAAAACTGATGGCGGGGGTGGGATGTAGGAATGTGGGGATAGGGTCTATGAGGTGTAGTGTGTTAAAGGTTAGGGAGGAGACGATTAATGTTGAATGAGGGGAGAAAAAAAACAAAAGTGGCGAGTGCTTGTTCATTAATATTTTCAGAGTAGTTTACGTTACATAATTGACATGAAATAATTTACTGTATATTGAATTTAGTTGCTTGGTTCATTTTAGTTCTTTTACTGCCAACATTTTTTTTCTGCATATGTTTCTGTTAAATTTCTTCCTTCTATCACAAATTGCTCTATCTTTGTCTTGATGCTCTTCTGTAAAATGAGGTTGTTCATTATAGTCACTTGTCTATATAGATCAGTCGGTTTCTACTTCACGTGATTGTTGTCCTTGGCTGTGTCTTAGGAGGGTTTTCAACTCTCTAGTTCCTTCTTTTTGGTACTTGAGTTAACCTGTTAATTTTATCTTATCATCTAGTGGAACTCATGTCTGCAAGTTTCCCATGTGGGCCCTCATTATTTATGGGAAGCATACTCCAAAATTCTCCAAATTGAGTGGCTGGAAGTTCTTAAGGTCGTAGCCATTAGCATTTGCTTCCGTCTAATGTCCTGTCGAACTCTGCTGTGTAAGCAAGCACTTTTAAGTAGACTACAGAAAATTAAGAAAACGTAAAAGTATTAGCATGTCCAGAGTAAAAATAATACTAAATGTTTTCAGTTTTACTCATTTGAGTGTTATCAAGTTGAAGCGACTAGCCTTTTCAATTGCGCAGAGGCAGAGGGATTGTAATTTTTTGGTTCCCTTATAAATTATTGATGTATGCTTGAGATCAATCATGAGATTTTTTCCTAAGTTCCCCGGAAACTGGAACTTATGAAATTCTAGTATGTGACATTCTATAGTCCTCACACCAAATTAACCTTCTCCAAATCTTGTACCATGTGATTTAAGTTTTTTGTTTTTGGAATAAAGACATGATATTCCATTTCTCATTTTGAAGTTTATGTTTTAGCAGCTTTATTTGCATATCTCATAGGAGTCAATAGGCCAAGATCAGATAAATTATCTGAACTTTGTTGATCCAATAGTTTCTAAATTTTTCTTGGATATTTTGGTTAATATGATTGGACAGTAGAATAAATCCATCATTGATTTAAACACATGTTGCAAGGAATGATGAAATACCAAGACACATCATGTCTCCTTTGAATTTTTTTTCTGATTCGCGAATGATTTGTTGTTATCCGCTTTCAGGATGGTTCTTTTTTATTTTTAGACCAGGCGTATGCCTGAGACATTTCCATATGTGATGGTGGAAGTTCCGAAAATCTTAAGATACGTACTTTGTCAGGTCATTCTGGTGATGTTTTTATCGATTGCTATTTCTTTAATAATATTGGTGTCCGGACAAGCTTGCATGCACCTTGACTAATTCCATGGTACCTGTTTCTTCCTATATTTAATTATGTCAAAAAGCAGTTATTAGAAGTGTTTAGCTTAGGTTCCAGTTTTAGTTTTTCTATTGCAGTGTCTTAGTGTCACAAACTTGAGCAGTAACCTGTAAGCAGCCTCCTAAAATGTGCACAAAGAGTAGTAAAAGGTGGAGGATTTGTGGCTTAGGTCGCAGGTTCAAGCCCCACACCATGCAAAGCGAAGCCTGGTATTTAAGTGGAGAAGGGTAGAGGGGCGGGCCCATTATCCACCGAGTTTAGAAGGCTGTGATTGGTCCAAAGGGCGGGTCCAGACGGATTTCTTGGTTATCAAAAAAAAAAAAAAAATGTGCACAAAGAGCATCTTTAGATTCAGGTACACTGTATCACTATTGCATCTGCTTTTCCAAAACCTGGTGTTGGGGTGCTTTGAGCACTGCTGCTCTTTTCTAAATCAGACCAACCCGTAAGAACTTAATAACTTCAGCACATCTGAATGTTATTTTGCATTACCACAGCAGAAGTTCGATACTAAACAGGTAATGATTGATGGAGGTGGTGTTATTTTTTTGCCATCAAATTGAAGTATTATGATTAGGTTCTGGTTTCATGAAGTGGATTGCAAATTTACAAGGCATTATTTGTCATATATGGAATGTTGAAACTTCTAGAAAGGTTGGAGTTTGTGAAATTACTGTTAAGTTTCGCAACTGTGTTTCCCTCACTTGTTTTTTGGAAATTCCTCCTTTATTACTTGGTCTTTTCTTTTTTCATTTCTGTTTTCTGGTAATAATCTCCTATAAAACATGTGCGCAAGTTCATCATTATCTGAAGTCAGTTAGCACTGTATCTTGCAAGACTTCAAAACTGCTTGCCTTTTCTCATCCACCATCCCTTTATTTTGGTTGACTTCAGATGTTAAACATCCTTCTTATGCTCAACTAAAGGAGTTGGAAAGCCTTAATTAAAGGCATGTCTGGTTATGCCAAGTTGACAATGCATCTTTTAAGTGTCTGGAATCTTATCCATAGCCCAGATTATGATAAACTGATAACTCTGCAACTAACCTTAGGCCAAAAGTAGTAATAATAATAACTATGTTTGATGCATAATGCTATTCCTATTGGGACCTTACCCGAGTATGTTGTGATCACTTCTGAAAGCTCTCATTGTGGCCAGGAAATCTACTAGTTAAGAAATTGGTGTATTTGGTTTAAAATTTCCTCCTCATTCCTTTCCGTGGCTCACAGACTTTTGGCTCACAGAAGTGCATCTTTTTTTCTTTGTTTAAACTTCATGGTTGCATGGCTTAACTTTTTTCTGATTCCTTGATTGTTTACTTCGTTATCTTGGGAGATTTCAAGACAAAAAGCCATTAGCCACATAGTTTTTAACACTATTGTCGTGTGCCAATCATTTTTGTCTTAGGGTTCCTGTATTTGTCCTCTATAGAAAGCCGGTGAATTGGAGTGGGATGTGAAATTAATCCAATTGTACTCTTTTATTACAGAGACAGGAATTGTTTGCTATGAAAAGGACATGGAGAGGAAAAGGCTTACCTGATTGGTTGCTTGGTGTCAGCACATGTGCCCTTTTCCTTCTGAAAGAGGGAATTGTACTGGACTAGTGGTGCTATCCTGAAATGTAAGTCGACCATTTGAATGCCTTATCTGGAAGATGTCAGATGCATTTTCTGAAACAAAATGAAAACTAAATTAAATCAGTTTATAGCTATAGCACAATCTAAAATATTAGTAGCTTGGTGTAGATGTCAGCAAATGATTCAGTTACTAACAAATTGTTCAGCAAAGTTAGTTCCAAAACACTCTATTGATATGCATGCCTAGTATGAACAAGTTTGATGCTTAGCTCAATTGTGTTCATTCTTTTTTCCTTTATGGCCCGAGAGGCGCAGCTAGGTCACTATTAATTTGTTATAGTCTTCTTGAAAGTTTTTTTTAGGTATAGAAATGATTAGGAACAGTCCCATTCTGAAGAACATAAAGTACTAGGGAGAGCTTGAATGTTACCCCTATAATTAATGACATAGAAAGTATAAGTTCTCATTTATTTGTCACGACTATTTTACTCCTCCATCAAGGGTTATGTTGGGATAGATAGGATTCCTCCACACTTAATCAGAGATCCTGAGTTCAAGCTCCAGATATAGAAAAAGTCCTGCTCAGAAACACTTCTTACTTTAATGGGTGTTACATAATGCAGATTCGAATTAGTTTAGGCTCCAATGTAGGTACCGAATACCAGCTAAGGAAACGAAGAAAAGACACTTGCACTTTCTTGAGAATGTTGGTAGGAATGTGTTCAAATCAGGCATTTTCATTATTTGAGCATACTGTTTATTGAAGTTGAAAAGACACCAAATTAAGGAATCTGTATGGTAGATGACTTGCTAAAAATATCTCCAGGACACACTCATTTTGATAGTTTTAAAGGTCCTTTTGACCTTGATGAGACGCAAAGTGCTAATTAATCCTACCGACTGTGAGTGGTACCAACAAACTTTAGGGGTCTCAACCACAAACTAAGCTAGCACTATAGAGTAGTACAGTATTAACTAACTTGTGTTTTATTCATCTTCTTTTGGTTTGGTATATGATCCATCCAACAAATGAGCCGTCATACTAGGCTGTCTGATTAGGTCATGACTTCTTAACTACACACGTTTTGCATCTTCCTGCCAAACAATTTATCTTATCCCAACAGATACTTTATTGTTACTCTGGAAAAAATTTAACAATCATAAGGTGAAACTGACCCTCAGTAATGCATTTGGGATGCGTAGTAGTGCCTAATTTTTGACATCACTGATTAAAGAAAAACAAAAGGTCACAAAATTGCATAATTTTTACCGCATTCTTCACTTTTTGGCTAGGAACTAGATGGTCTCTATTGTCCATTTTACAATGAGGCTAATTTGATAGCTGATAATTTAGCCAATTTGGTCTTTATTTAAGAATTTTGCTTTGAATGATATTCACATCTATCTGTCTGCTTAGGGGATATTTTTGGGGTCTCATCCCCCGCCCCACCCCTCTCAGTTTTGGACTAATTTCTTATTGTTTTAATTCTGATATTAAAAAAAGAGTGAAGTGTCAAAAATATATCTAAATTGTTTATTTTGTTTAGTTTCACACCTAAACTATTCCTCGTATAAGTGTGAGAAACATATCTCAATGTTGACTAGATCAATTTTGGACAAATTTTGAGTTGGGCTTGATTTCTGTATTCGGTTCTCTTGGACAAATTCTGACTTGGGCTTGAAAGTTGGAATCACAGTGGTCACCATGTTTTGGAAGAATTATTATATTAAATAGCCACTTATCAAACTGTTTAAATTGAAAATAGAAAATAGTTGATAAATGTATAATAAATACATTTATTCATGGACAATATATATTTAACCATATAAATAGTAATGTATAATCGTTAATGTCTACTTAGCTTGATAGAAAAAGTAAATGGTAAATTTGGCTGACTATTTGTGAAAAGATTCTAATCTTATATCCACTCCTTCTTAATCATATTACATAGCCTTTGAAATCAATGTGGCAACAATTTTACAAGTTAAAATTTTAAAATAATCATTTTTGAATTTATAATTGAAAAATAATCATAGTCATTAAAAATAACTATGTTTTTATTATGGATTACAAATTTTAAAAAGTGAAGCTCCACAATACCCCGGACATATTTCAAAATTCATGATAGTATTTTCATTTGTTTAAGTTGAAAATTCATAACATTAAAAGTTCATATTTATCAATCATTTTGTTTAAGTTGAAAATTCATAACATTGTAATGGTGTTTTCGCATTAAAAGTTCATATTTATCAATCAATTTTCAAACACGAGTTTTTATTTTTATTTTAAATGGATCAGAAAAGTGTCTAAGTCAGTACACTTCTTACATTTTACAATTACAACCAAATAAAAAAGAACTATAATTTATACCACACTTTTAATTTCAAAGGACAGTCATATAGCTTGCTCATTACTTAGCAGAAGATCATAGGCTTTACTACATCATATGTAATTAAATAAAAATGAAAAATAAAACCTTTTTTTAAAGAAAAAACGAAAGGATGTACAGAGAATTAACTTATACTGAATTTATAACCCTCGTTTTGAGATGTATAGGTTGAAGATTTTCTCTATAGAAATATCATGTATTTATCCAAAATTATTATTTACTACATATAGGGGTGTGCATTCGATTTTTCGGTTTGGTTTTATACTATTCGGTTTGGATTTTCGGTTTTTGGTTTTGAAGAAGTGTAACCCAATCTGAACCAAAATAAATTTGGTTTGATTTGATTTTTCACTTTTTGGTTTGAGTTTATATATATATATATATATTTATTAAATTTCTTAAATATACTTTTTAATATGAATCACAAGTAAAACGTAAAACACTATATTTAAAAGTATATCAATTATATCAACAGAAGGTGAGCCCCCAGTAAAAAAGGGAAGAGGAAGACCAAGAAAAACACCAATTGCACCTCTAGCACCTCTTACATATCCAACACTTAGTGCTCCTCCTCCATCTATTGCAACTTTTTGCCTACTACTGGTAAAAGAGGAAGACTAAGAAAAACACATCTTGCACATCCTGCATATCTTGAACATCCAGCAGCTCCAGCATCACCTATTTCATTGCCAACTACTTGTAAAAGAGGAAGGGGCAGGGGAAGTGAAAGCACAATCCCATACAAAAGATCATCAATTATGGGAATGGGTGTGTTTCAAGTTGAAAATGGATTCAAAGCATTTAATGTGAGTATTTGCTACTAATTATATCAATCATCTTCATAAATTAAGTTTTTCCTACTAATTATTTTTCATAAATTGGGTGCAGTCTGGCATGCCAAGCTTTAAGATACTATCTACTGGTGCAACCAAAGTGACAAGATCAGCTGACATAACTGGTGATATTGGTTTCAAACCAAGTACAGCAAGCAAGTTTAAATGGAAAGGGAAATCAGCAATATCAACAAGAAAACTTCAAGAAATGAGTGAGCAACAAAGAAAAAACCAAAAGGAAGTAGTTCAAACAATCCAAGTCAATCCAAGGAGCCATGAAAAATGTAGTATTGTAGCATTGTTTTAAGCCTTTTGTTTTTTATGTAGAATATTGATGTATTAGTACCAAACGAATTCTGTTTTTGTTTGGGTTGTGACTGACAATATTTTCTCTATCCCTTTAGTTTTTGATGTTGAATGTTGATATATTAGTACTAAACGACTTCTATTTTCATTTTGGGTTGTCAATGACATTCTATGACAATATTTTCTCTATGCCTTTTGTTTTTGGGTTGTGACTAAACGATGTATTAAAGCATTCTATTGTTTTCTTGTTTGCTTGAATAACTAATTTACAATTACACAATCATCTGTTGGAATCTTCATTGACATAAATAGAGACATAAATACAAAGCATTACAAGAAAAATAAAATTCCTTATTACATCAAAATCTAGCATAGGGTACCTTACTATGACAAAGCAAAACGTAATTCTTTATTATGCCAATTCAACTAGATCAATACTTGATTCACTACTTTGGAATAGGTTGTTGATAAACATAGCAACAACACAAATCAAAACACACAAAATGATTCCAATAGAACCTACACCTTCCAATAGAACCTACACCATTATTATTGTCGATCACTTGCTCATTGATTTGTGTCTACCTCCTCAAAACTTCTTCTTCCAACTCTTTGATTTTGTTCACCAATTTTGGGAGAATAATTTTTGATCTTGGGTCGACATCTTCTTTGTCTCTCCATCGAAAAAACTTACAATTCTTAGACTGAAATCAAATTAGTACATTAACATCAATTAAATTCAATGAAATAAATAATAGAAGAAGAGAAATCACATTCATCATAGTAGGGGCAGGATCAAAATTGCCTTCCGGGATTTGACTTCGACCAAGAAGTTTGCATATGCAGTAAAACGCCATGTTTGCACCACACAACGGCTTTGAGCATTGAGTCTGATTCTTCCATACTAAGCTTATTCAAGTTCGCATTTGCCATTATTTACCCTAACAAAGCAAAAAAAAAAACGATGAATTTGAAGAAAAAATTTGAACCCTAACTATGAAATCAGAGAAATTACAAGCCCTAAATCTTCAAGCTTTTTCGAAATTGAAACTACAATTGAATGCTTTGACAAGTAAAATCAAGTTTTAAGCTGATTTGGGAGAGAATGAAGGAATATATTGTTGGAGATTTGTCAACAATTAGAAGAATTGAGAAAAAGAGGAAGAAAAAGAGAGTTTGATTTGGGAGAGATGAGATTATACCGTTGGAGATTTAATATAGTTGATTTGGACTGACACATGTAATTTTCTACAGCTTTTAACATTTTATTTTCTATTCTTACGTGCCTAAGGGAGTTAGTCTCACCTTCTTGGACATGTCAGCAAAGAAGGGTGAGATAATAAGTAAAAAAAAATGTTCAAGGGGGTAATAAGACCCCCGTAAAGTATAAATGTGTAGTTGAGAATCTGACTATAGGTTAGGAGGGCTTTTGGTCATTTTCTCTTAAATTAACAAGAACAACAAAATAAAATTAGGTGTGAAAAAAAAAGGACACAGTAAACACATTAAAAATAATGATTGTTTAAAATTGTCAGTGACCATAAAAATATGATTTATAATTTTTTGTTATTTGTTTAAAAGGAAATTTTTTATTTTGGGAGAGGCACACATACTGTCAGTTGTGTGAGGCTTCATTTGGCTGGCACATATATACTGTGGGACCATAATGTACTTATTTTCCTACTTTTTCTTTTCCAATTTTAATCTTTTCTTTGGAGTACTTTTTCTTTCTTACTTGC